CTGTTCTGATTGTGCACGTACGGTGTAATCGTAATTGTTTACTGGGATAATTCGACGTAACGTCTCGTGACTGAGTCACATCGACTCATCGACCGTGGACTTTCGATTTAATGTAAAAAAATTCACGTAATTTCGTTGTATGGTTTCGTAATGACAGGAACAGAGGTAATTTAATAAACATGGAAACTGTGGGTGTGAAATCCGCTATTTGTACACGTGAAAACACGTTATGAAGGACGAACAATTCCAGAATTTATCGTCGACACTCGATAAAGCATAAACTTATCCGTATACGTCGCGTTTCAAGACCAGAAAGGTGTACTCTAAATATGGTCGTTCAGTAATTCCACGTAAATTACGACACACGATAAACCAGAATCGATTTATAGTTCACACTCGATAGAAAGCAAACAGGTTGTTTTATTGACTTTAATTTTAACGCGCGAAAAGAATCTTACTTTTAACTTTTTTGGAACACACCTTTAAAACAAATTGACATAATCAAGCTGTCACATATTAACAAGCTGTTGATAGTACAGTAATAACGCGACGTGCTACTTACTGAAAGTTCTATCACGTGCACCAAATCAAGCTCTTCTTCTGGTGGGTATCATAGCAGGTGAACTACCTATAAAAAATAAGTACACGATGTTTCACCGACGAATATGTAACGCGTGCACACATCGCGACAAAGAAACTTCTACGAATGTATGAATACAATTACGAGCAAGTAACAAAGATGGAGAGAGAGAAAACGAGAGTGAAAGAAGACAGACGAGTCGCCCAAACACAACAACGCAACCTTTAGCGACGTCGAAATACTACTAACTGTTGGCGTCAAGTTTCAATCAGGTTATGCAAACCCTGCAACCCCCCCACTTTTCTTTTCCTCTTGTATACCTACGCACGTGACTCTCCAATGCGTACCACATTTATGTAAGCTCGTGTATATGTACGCCTGACTAGATGCGTCACTCGATTTGTATAACGCGCGCGAACATTTTGTAACAGTCATGTGTAAAATTAGTTTTACAATTTAATTTAAATTTTATAATTAAAATTCGGTATCATTTTTTTTTTACTGTAAACTAGAAAAATATTGAAATAAATCTGCACATTTTAATGCAATGTTAATGAATACTTCGATATTTTTCTGATGTGTTTCGCGTTAAGAGCTACTTTTATAATGGCATGCTTAGAGTTTTATCGTTCTTTTATAAATAAACATTTTATTAAGAACGAAAGATTAAGAAGCGACGAAAGGTTAATTATCACGAATTATGATTTTAAAGTAATTGAAATTTGTTCATCCAAGTGCAATTGTACTCGTGTGTAATGTTACGTGGAATATTTGTTAGAAAATATTTAGGTTAGGTTAGCTTAATTATATTATTAAATCATTTCATAAGTCTAGTTGATTGTACAAAATTTTGATATAAAAAATTGAGTACGTAGTGTTTGAAGATTTAGAAAAAAAGAACGCAGGTATGATTAATGTTGCTTTCGTATATAAAATTTATCTATAACATAAATTTATGTATAACGATTTGCGGAGTAAAGCGATATCTAGTAATAGAATCATTCAAGTGTTTATACAACTTTAAGTATGTACATATATCACAGTCAAATTTTGATACCTAAGTACTTATCATAAATGTTCGATATTTAGGAGTGTTCTGTTTTTTAAATTAATGACTTCAGCTTTAATTCCATTATGTATTGTGATGTTCAGAGTACTCTAAGCGGATGCTGTTATTGAATCATTGTAGGTATTTCTCATCTAATAGATGTTCAATCAGATCTGTGTATACAATGCGTATACTTCAACAAAATGCAAATGTTTTGTTCTGAAATGACTTGTTCATTAGAAATATTGCGATGCAAAAGTGACGATAATGTTGTTTGTTAATATCCTTTGTTTTTATCATTTATCCTCTACCAACGTGATACAGAACGTATTTCTAATGAGTAAACGAAATGTAACGAAGAGGTTAAGTGGGTGTTCAAAATGATACGTCATGTGTGCGTAATATTGGTATACAGTAAGTCGTAATTATAGCAAGTTAAGTTATTACTGTCACGCGTGGCGACGTTCATTTGCCATAACAGTTGAAGTGTCATAAATATGTGACGTGTTGCAGCGAATACAGCGAAGTGCAATAATGAACCATTGTAATGAACAATTTCGCAAGTTATTTTTAAATGAAATTACTGCTCAAATTCAAATTTGAATTTATTACCATTTGGAAGATTGCGTGATTTACATAATCATGTTTGAATAAGATTACACATATTGCAATAATAAGATTATGGATTTCCTAAAGCTTATTAGCTACTTTCAACAACCTTGTCACAATTATTGCTCGTGATCGCGAGGCAGATATTGCTAATTTATATTGTAGATAAAGGAATACTCGAGATTATGCTTCCATTAACAATCCAAAAAATATCAGAATACTTTATTGACTTTTGGGGGTGTGGCATAGACAAGAAATTATATAAAAGCTACTAATATCATAACCTACCAATGTAATCCATTTAGTTTTATTAAAAGAACGCTTTTAAAAGAACGTTTCAAAGATTGGATTTTGAAATTATGGTATCGTAATGGATTGTTCGTGATACCATAAATGACGAGAAGAACGATTATGATCAGACTTATTGCAACACAAGTCCTTCTTTAAAGTGCTCTTGTAGTCTAAGAAAGTAAGAATTGATTTTAGAACATCGATCGGTATATGGACGGTAGACAAAAGGCATTGCTTCATAAAAGAAATCATTTTTTTTACACCCTTTGTAAATTTTTACTGCATTTTATATTAATAAATTCTTGTTCCTTTGAACAATATTTTCTTTTAAATGTCTATTTGTCTAAATTTTAATATCGTTCAGTTTTTAATAAAATCGAGAAATCGTTAATTTTAAGGTATATATGTATAAAGTAAATGTTGACTGTTATACTACATAAGCATAATTATATAAATGTTAACGGGAAAAGTAAATTGTGGTTTTTATCGATTTACGTACTATCTGTTAAGTTACACATGTAAAAGGTCAGAGAGATTTGTACAGTACATACAGTTTTTACGAATGAAAAAGATCGGAAAGTACCAATACCTAAGGGTATTTTATAATAGTATTCATTGATATAAAGAAAAGTGAGAGTTAATCGTGTATGCAAAGATCGTTAGAAATTGAATAACTTTTATCTGGGCTTTTGCACTTAACCAAGGTCTATTATTTAATACAGGTCAGCTATATCTTCTTCTGATATCTAGAGTTTAAACAAGCTATGTTACATTCATTCTCTATGACAAAGAGGAAAAGAAAGCTGCTCTACTCACGAGTATATCTTTTAATCTCTTCCGGCGATTTTGTAAAAAGAGTTCATTGCGATAGAGAAATAGTGGGTTTAATACTGAACGACAAATAAGATAATGCTTATCAAGGCTACCGCTGAGACATTATATGGCGAGAAAACAGATAACAGGATGATGTCTGGGCGCACGAGTTTGTTAATTGATTAGTATAAATTGGGGAGAAGCATACAAGACAATTAAGTGATGTACTGTTCCGGGTGAATGAATCTCGACACATTTGATACTGTATTTTTATGTTAATTAGATCACATTTTGATATATATATATATATCTTATACGTGTATATACGTGTATATATACACACACGATACACGCATTCCGTTCTTGCTGCTTAATGATTTATTTGGTAGCTTCAGGTACAGTAGTCGCTACATTTTTTTATCGGTAAAAAAATATTCTTTATCATAATCGTTATAGGAAACTGAATGATTTCTACAAATGATAATCGCACTATTACGTATTATACATATCTTCTACGTATTCTTATAATACTTTTTTTTTGTTAAATATATGTATGAATTTATAGAAACAAATAATATTAAATCACAGAGGGTTCGTCTGGGACGAAAATGGAAAAATTCGACATTCGAAAAACAATTTCGAAACTATTTTTCAGTGTTTTCTCGAACTTGCTTTAATACGTAATAACATACTTTGTACAAATAGCGTGAGATCTCCTTGTTTGTTATTTGAATAGTGTCATGTATCTCATGTAAATGTTTAACTCATAGTTTGACTTTACGATAGCTTATCTTGAGTTGCTTCAGTTGGGTGTATTTATATTTACGTACATTTTACATGCATTATTTTTTTATCATACATGATATTTATATACAATTTGTAAAAGCACTCTATCATGTATTTGATAGTCCTTTCAATTTTTCCGATGTTTTTAAGATTATATTTATATTTACAATTCGTAAGAACATTTTAGATTTTAGATTTAACAATTTCGTTTACTGAATACTGCGAATATGTAACCGTTATCTCTAACTTTATAATGTTGTATCCTCCTTTTATGCTTATGCAATGTTTAGAATGTTATAGTACAATTTATAAATATACATTTGGCAACAAAATTATGCAATCATAAACATTTTTATTTACCTGTTCGATGCTACGAAAAAGCAACACGATATAATTCATATCGTATAAATGTAAACGATACAATGTACTAACAAACACTGACCATTTTTCTTGTAAAATAAATTTTAATGTAAATATAAAATAATAAATCAACTTCAAATTCAGATCTAATTTTCTATAAAATCCTATCTGTAGCTTTCCGCTATCTTCATTTCGTTCCACTAAAAAATTCCTTCACAATGAAACAAAGAGACAAAGAAAGTAAGTGTACAATTTCTGTATAAGTGTCTCTGTATCTCTCGAGTAAATGCTTGTACTTTGTTGCAATCAATTAGAGCTTAACGGTTCGCGAATAACTCACACGTCTAGGCTTATCGATTTGCCACATTTCATTACCTTTAGTCGTTTTTTATTTTCTCGTTAAAACAAAAATGAGTCCATCCCCCTCTTACCGTACAGATAACACGGCAGCTTTCAACATAGTGTCACAATTTCAAAATTCACAGATTTCAATAGCATTGTTCTAGAACTCGCGTATCACAATTCGGTCGTAGCTACTCCCCAGTACTGTTGCATTCTCGTCGCGTCTTGCTCCAACGAGTCTAATCCGTTTCTTTCCTGAATGACAGCGAAATCGTATTCGAGATTATACGGCATCAGCCTTTGCAGGCTGCCGAAGTAAGCCGCGTTCGGACCTCCATTCAGTAATCTTCTTCCGCTACCAAATCGCACAATGGGCGGTCTCGGAAGGGAGGGATTAAAGGATCTGGCACTTCCGAACCTCTTCGATAGAAAAGGCAAATTGCCACCTAATTGAGGCGTGGATCTCGATTGACCTCGCCGTAGCGGGGTTCTCGTTAAGGTGTCCAATTCCTTGTCGAACAAGAGCTGAGTATTCTGTTCCAGCATATACTCCCAGCATCGGAACTGTTCCTCGCTGAGAGCGCCAGATCTCTCGGACACGGTGTCTTCTTGTGTCGTTAGACAAGTTGATACCTTTAAATTTTACGTTGTAATTTTATTTACAGAGTATTTACAATGTATCCTTTATTTTAAGTTAATTATCACTTGGTATGTAAAGTATATTTTAAGAATAAAAAAAATTACATAAAAGATTGCAGTAACGTTATTTTACCTTTCTCGTGCCATTTTCATTTGTAAAAACGCTCTGACGAGCTTTGTTCGTGGCTCTGGAAGCAGCACTTCCAGGCCAGACTCTACCAGAAGGGTGTCTCGACTTGAAGGTACTATCGCTGGCTTGGTCGGATTGGCCGCTCGGTGAGCTTCTATCATCTTTATACGGCGGACTTTCATTCTCCTGCGTAGGTCGACGGTTCTTGAAGTATTTACCAGACCCGTTGTGTGCTTTGTTCGACCTGCATAATTTAAAATTGTTCAATCATACCATGTCTATACACTCTATGACAATGCTTCCACACATTCCAGCCATTCTTTGTATAATTTTCAAAATAAAGCTTTTAAACGAATTATTCTCGACACTATTATACCACCTAGTATATCGCAATTATTAAGCTACTTTGTACTGGAGCGAACAGTTCCTACAACCTCTATTACGTAATTTCGTACGAACTGTCTTACCTATTCACTATGCTTTTCAGCACACCGTTCAAATAATAGCCCTCATTCGTGTGACAGCAGCAAGGTCCCGGTGGTTTATGTGCAGCTGGTGGCACGCAACAAGGACAAGGACATCCAGCCTCAGTCTGACCTCTATTTTTACCGACCGCGTGCCTCAGCTCCCTCATCAGCTGATCCAAATCGCCCTGGCTGGGTCCTGTTAGCCTTACAACGACGATACTCAAATTATCCTCTGCACCGTAAGCTTGCGCTAAATCTTGAAGCCTTTTGGCGGCCAACACAGGGCTAGCCTCTGCTCTAGCTTCTCGAACGGCTTCCTGAATACTCAACACCTCCCACAATCGTCGATTACCAATTATAACAAATTCGTCGTCGTCCTCTAGGTCCACTTCCTCGAAAGTCGGGTCAGGTACCACCAGAGGAAACATGGCCGCGTTGCCCAATTGATTTTTCACAGGAACTTTCTTAGGCGGAGCTAAGGTTAAAGGGCCAGCTGCTCTGCAGAGAACCGCTTTTGCATCGCCAGACGTGGCTACTTTCAACGAATACTTCGTCGGTGCTTTCGGGTATCCCGGTTGCGATTGAATTCTTACAATATGCACCAGTGTCGCATCGATCCCGTATTTTTGGCCCTTCTCTTTTAACTCTCGATGGGCGGAGAGTAACGTGTACTTTAAGTATTCTTTAGACGTCTCCCGGACGGTCCTCTCCTCCAGTAAGAGGCGCGGGATCATTTCTTGAAGAGCGCTTGGCGCTTCTTGGTTCGAGCCGCCGTCGAATACACCAAACAAACCTTCCACGTTGCAGAACGACGGCATCCGGACTTGCGATACGTACAATCTGTGCATAAGAATTGGACGATTAAACATACAGTTTGTTTAACTTTGTATAATTTGTAATTTAATACAAAAAGAAACAATATAAGAGAATATGTAATATTGACCAACAATAAATGAGAATTGATTAGAAACAATATCGATTTCTTTTTTACCTTTCCCTCGACCCTGCTGTTTCCGAAAATCCAAGTCTCCACGGTTGTTCTGAACCCTTTTCCGCGGAAACGATCTCCTGCTGATGAGGATGAGAGGGTAGACTTGGTCTGTTCTGACCCGACACATCAACCAAAGATATTGGTCGCTGCGATCTGTACACTTGGAATTGTCTGGGGTCTACGTGGAGCCTCGAGTTGCAAGATATGTCGAGAAATTGAAGTTGAGGTGGCACCAGTGTGGCCAGGTTCACCCTGTCTAACTGGTTGTGAGCTAGATCCAAAACCTGTATAAAGAACAGTAGTTTCATGTTCAAACGTTTCTTTCATTGTTATTGATTTTGAGTACATGGGGTAACAGAAAGTTTGATCACAATAAATACTGAGAAGAAATTTCACAATAAACTTAAAGTAAAATAAAACATTCCAATGAAGTGTTCGTAATTTTATTTAAATTTATCAGCTATTTCTGTATAAATTGTGACTTGTAAAGCAATAGGAGTAGAGTTTTCTGTTTACCCATGACATTACCTTTAACGATGCTGTTTTATTGAATGTCGGACAAGTTAGGAGCCGATTGGAATGGACACGCAAGACACGTAAATGCCGTAAATTGGCTACATTGTCCGGTAGGTATTGAAGACGATTTCCAGACAATACTAATTCTTCCAGGTCTTTCCACGAAGCTATACAACTGCAAGTCGATAGTCTTTTAATATTTCATTCTAATCGTGAGACATTGAAGGGGCAAATAAAGTGTTGCAGATTATACCTCTCTGGAAGCGTGTCTAAAGTGTTGTACGCTATATGAAGAACTCGTAATGAAGACAATTTTGCAAGAGTATCCAAAGCTGTGTCTGTCAAACAATTCGCCGTGAGATATAATTTCTCCAAATTGTGATTGTTATGTCGATTTTTGTTTCCTTCTCCCAAGTGTGGAAGTTCTGATAATCGATTGTTGGAGAGATTCAGAACTTTCATTCTATAGAAAAAAGTATTTGTCAGTATAATTTCAATTACATTGTGTTAGGTTTAAATTTACAATATATTTCCCTAATCATTTATGCAGCAATACAGAGTTGTCAAACAACTATAATGTTCTTATAAATATACAGACATAAATGTATCATAATTTTTCCAAATTTTCTTATCAAACAGATGATTCTAACATTCATAACATCGAGATACAATATATCCTGTATTTCTGTGCTACTATGTGCACGAGAAACAAAGTCGTTCACATACTTTTCCGTGTTGATGAAGAAACTTGTTGGTAACGCTGTCAGTGCATTGTCTTGTAGCGTCAAGTGAACGATGTTTAGTGGTTTTCTAGGTGGTGGAAGAGCCTGCAGTCTATTGTGGGGTAAGTGAAGAACCTCCAGCCTCGACGGCTGCGTTAGCAGTCTGTCTGGAAGCGCTGTTAAGGCATTGTGGGAAGCAAAAAGTGCGCGCAGCAAGGGTAGATCTGGCGTCCATTCCGGAAGAGCATCTAAATTATTGCTAAAATAAAATTATATTATTGCAAAAGAAAATAATAAATAACTTAACCTATATGAAATAATACTTGTATATAAGATATTTTATACATAGTAATTATGTGATCCAGATATACTTTAATTAAAAAAAAAATTCTTCTGGAGAAATCTGATTTTGTTTGTGTTATTAGAAATAATAAGAAAGAAAAGAGAGAATACGAAAATTTGATCAGGAATGTGGTTTTATAATTTATTATTTTTATTATCTCATTTTTACTTACTAAGAAACGTCTAGGTGTTCTAGATTCACAGGTACTGGTTCGATAGTTAACTTTTTTAGTTCTGAAAGATAACGAATGGTTTGTTTTAATAAGAAACTGGTTCCCACGTTCGTTACTTGTAAATGGTGAAAATGTGAAGAAAAAAACTCTTACTGTTGTTTCCAGCAATAAGGGAAACAAGATTCCTCCCGCAAACCGTCAGTTCTGTTAAAATATTTCGCGCGCAACGAACGCTCCTCAATTCTTGAAGAGCACTGATGTCCAATTTCTCAATGCTATTTTCACTGACGTCTAGATGCGTTAAATTCTTGATTAAAAAGGAAATAGAAATGGTAACGATCAATAATCATTATCTCGAGATTACGTTATGTCATAATCGCATTTATATAGTATTAAGAAAAACTCTTACTCCGTAATTTCCAAGAATGATGTTTCCTTTCAATTGAGTATTCCGTAGATTGACTTTATACAGATTATTTTGATTATTCTTCTCATCTTTGCAAGCTTTACTGTGATCTGTCTTCGATAAAACATCCTGAAAACAATTAAAAAAAATTCAGTTTCACATTCCAATAGAATTGAACTTTTTACGAAAACATAAAATGTTTAATAACAATTTTTGTATATTTATTTATGTTTTTTAAACATTTTCACTGCATTAACTATTTTTCTAGGTGCATATAATTTAATAGAAGAATACGTACAGAGCAATATGTACGTTATGCGTTTTTGAACATGCAGTATTTCATTATTTCGCCACTAGGTGGCTCACAGATCTACTAAGTTTCTCGAAAGGAAGTATACGCACCGGGTTGCATATAAGGGTACTGGAAAAGTTAATTCGTCACTCTGGTTTCCCTTCAAGTCACGCATAAATCTTTCGCCTTTTACTAAAGATTTCCGTGGAGGGGAACAATTGATGAGTCTATAGACTAATTTTTTGTGTGCCCGGCGTAAGCTGGGTCATAATTTATAATAAAGCATAAAGAATACTTTCAGGTGTTCATTAACAAAACCATAATAAAGATCTAAAACTAGATCTAATTCAAAGTTCTCGAAGTACTTTAAAAACTAGGTCAAGGTTTCTCAAAAAATCTACCTTGATGATTCGGTGTACGTGTTAAAATGAACATAGAAAACACACCTGTTGTCATTTACAGATCGATAATTCATTTTTAAGAGAGATCTCTATTATCGCCATCTTCTACACTTCTAGTTAGATAATATCTACACACATATTTTTCCCAATAAACATTTATTTTGCGTAATTTCTTTACCAAACACTGGACAAGATACTATTTATCAATGCCTATATATATGTATAAAAAAAAAAAAAAATCTACAAATATTTATCCTCGATTTTTATACGGACAGTAACTCGTACACACTAGTTTCAACTTGCAAGAATTCTAACGGAGGACTTGGTGAAACTAAAGAGGAAGTCGGGTTCGGATAAAATTTTTCAGAATCCTAAGAGTTCATTCAATTGAATTTCTAGAGCACGATTTACGATCTTCCTTTCTCTGGAGTTAATTAAACGGAATAATTGCTCGATTCGTTAGCATGGAGTTACGTTTTTTCTTTTTTTTTTTTGCAACGCAGGTTGCCTCATCGTTCCTCGACCAGCGGCTGTTCATCGTAACGGTACTTCCACGCGAATTTTGAATTACAAAACGCTTTAATAATTTCACGAAACGCATTCGACTTACCGTTAGTGTGAGGGCTCGCATGTTGAAGAAAGACGGCAAACTGCTGAGGCAATTTCCAGCCAAGGAAATGTTTCTCAAGTTCTTCAGCTCTACGAGCTCGTGTGGCAGCTCTTTGATCCCATTACGATCCAAGATCAGCTCTTTCAGGCTGCGAACAATTATTTTCATCGATCTTTAAACGGTTTCTCTTATAAAGTAACGTTTCAAGTGTTAATGTTAACTTTGTAAATTATATTTTAATTATATCTGATATACTGGGTGTGTCAATAAGTGTGAAATATTAAAATGCAGTGTTATAAAATATTTAAAGTATTTCTTTCATTTTAATGGTTATTGCTTTCGTTTGGTTGAAAAAAATTTAACTCACTTTGATATTTCAAAAAATTTAAGACAAAAAATTGTTAATGCAACTATCGAATGCAATGTATTTCATGTGAAACATTTTTTAATAGAATTAATAAACGCGGAGTTATTTCAGGTGAAAGTTTTTATTGGCTCACCCTGTGTAGTTATATTTTGAGAGTATTGTAACTTATGTTAAATGGTATTTCAAAGGCTGCTATTTATCGGGTCAGTATTTAAAAATAATTTTAATCGATATTTCAAATAAATGGTCAGTATTACATTGATTAATACAAGAAGTGTCAGTATTTTAAATAATCTAACCTAACTTAACCAAGAATTCAAAGTTTACTAACCTAAAAACAACATTGCACAAACAAAATGAGATTTAATACCGACAAATAATTATTTATACTGACCAAAATATTTAGTTTTTTAAATATTTACCATTAATTACAAAAAATACTGACCAAATAAATCGAAGTGTATTTCAAATTGTATCCTACGTGTTCGTAAAGCAACTATTTCTCGTTGTTAAGTGTGAAATGTAAGTTCAGCGCCATTTTCTATCCCGACGTTGAAACTACTTCAGCATGAATGTACAATTGGATAAAATTAAAAGTGTAATCGGCGAAACACCGAGTAATAAACGTTATTTACTTTATTCTTTCTATTTCCTGTTTTTTATTTTACGGTTTTTGATTTGAAGAAATGAAGAAATTGGATTAGCTAATTATTCTCAATAGCAATCTCACTTCTAAGACAACACGAATTTTCCATTCGTTGAAGTGTACAAAATATTGAATCATCAAGAATCCAGTTAAAAAAGGATTAAATAATTATTTAGAAAAAAAATTGAAGTTGCACTTGTTGCTCCTATTCAGCAAGTGTTAAGTTACCGTAATTAAATCAATTAAAATTTGAAATGTAATAATTTTAACATATTACAATACAGTAATGGCAGTAAAATCCTGATTCTTATCAATTTTCAATCTTCACAAATGAAAATCAATTAAACCCCCTAAGCTTTTTTATAATAAAATCCTAAATAAAAATTTATCATCCATTTCTTCCTTAAATAAAAAAATAACTGAAGTATACTGAAAATAACAATTAAGCAATATCCAAAAATCTTATTTTCACATCTCAATTTTATTTTCATCATTTTAGAAATAAATTCTATTTTCATCATTCCAGAAACAAATTTCATTTCCATCGCAATAATTTTTAGCGATTCTCTCCAAAAAGAAAAAAAAAAAAAGCTCCACATAGGGAGTTATATGGCACACAATTCTCACGTTATTGGTTTGCTACAATCTTTTTATTTTAGTATCGCACGGTATTTCTGGTACGCAATCACGATAAAAAGGAAACGAAGATGAATTACAGTTACAGCGATTCGATGTCAATGCACGTTGCACCCTCTTGTTGCACGGACAAACGAATCGGTGAACCTAAACGAACAGGCCGCCCACAGGATGTGCAGTTGAGTAGAAAGTTTGAAATTATGGTGAAAACCTTCCTGGCAGTAAGCATCTGTGTCATCGGACGGACTTTCAGTTTTTAAAGTAAAATCGAAATCGTTGCAGCCGTTAGACGCTATTTTCGAACACTAGAGTCTCGATATATCAATTCTGCTGATAAGAATCTCGAAATGTGAATTAATTAGTAATTTAATTTATGGCGGGAAAATTGTGCGTTTTTGAAAACTGCGTATCTGGCAAATTTGTATTGTTTTGTATTGTAACACTATACATAGTGATATTTGTGTAAGATATTTAGAAGAGAATGTTTGGTTTAAATGGATCGTTTTGAATGAAAGTTTATTATTTAATTAGCCTAATTTTGGTAATAATAATTTTTCGTTTTTTACGGATTGTATATTTTTCTTTGTTTCCATCAATTTCTTTTTGTTCCTGTATGCATGAAAGTAAAAGAAAAAGTGAATTTAATTCAATCAAATTATGCAGGGCGAGCCATGTAAAACAGATCACCTAATTACCTACTGTAGATACATATAGTATAATTTAAATGGTTTCAAAGAAGAAATTTTTTCCGTTTTTCTTTCAAGGTTACCTGTTGTGTTTTACATGAATGTATACACTGTTTCTACTGTGTGCTGCAGCAGGCATTGATATGCCTTTAAGCGTGCATAATAAAACGAACGTGGAATCTAAAATTTTAAATCAACGTGAAACTTCTTTTCCTTGAAAAAAGTTTTCTTCCATCCTGTTTACCCTTTGAAACTATTTAAATTACGTATACAAATTTTCTCGTACCACTATAGCACCCTATACGCTACACTGTCAATGTATGGAGAAAGTAATCACTCAACGATAATGAAATTAGTATAATTCAAGTCCCATTAAAGGAAAAAGAAACTTTTCAATGTGAGTCAATTCAGGTTAGCATAGACAAAAACTTTTTGATAAACCTAATTTTCACTGGAGAACCTGAAAGCCTTCAGTAATCACATATTTGGGCAATGCAATAATTGCACAATGCAATATTATTGAAAATCTATTTCTTTTCCTAATTAGTAATTTAGTTCCTAATTTTCATAATTAGTAATTTAATTCCTAATTTAAAAATTCAGGGATGAAGCAAATTTTCTACAATAGCACCCAAATAAATGCTTCTAAAATTATAACACTATAATAATGAAAAAAAATAAATTAACCGACTAATTTTAATCACATGAAATTTTACATAAATTCACCATAATTTATGCAGAAGTAATATAAGAAATATTTATTTAAAAAATAAATTAACCGATTGATTTTAATCGTACTAAATATTACTTAAACTCATTCCAATTTATACAGAATATTTTACTGGTGCAAAAAAAGAAGATTCTTTGAATTTGAACTAATTTCTATTTTACGTTATCCATTCACCATATCAAGTCACCACTTCACATCCTCTTTATTCACTCCTCTAGCACGCCACTTGTATCTGTAGCACGCAGCAGCCACTTCTCACCTGCTTCGTCATTTCTTATCCTTCGACTGTGCGCTGTTTAAAAAGCGTGGATGCTTTTAAAGATTCAGTGCACCCTTTTCAGCATTTCGTAACAGACAGCTGAAACAGTGCAACATTTACCAGCCTTCCTTTGCGCTTTTAATCCTTCGTTAGACATACAAATCCTCGCTGCTTTATTGTTTATTGTCTTCTTTGTATCACTCAGAGTTTCCAACACTTCGACGAAGGATTTCCTCCGAACAACCAGATTTCTCTGTGCTTCTCATCCGTTAGATGCACACAGATGAAGTAATTCTGTATTCTCTTGTGCAAATCTAGGAAAATCTACTCAACAAACACAGTCTGCTTATCATTTCTTAATCATCAAACTTACAAACGACTTTTTCGACTTCTGCAAATCATTTATAAAATTGTTATTTAAAATTTGATAGATTGCTTGTATCGACGAAGAGTGGTTTTCAGTGTGTCAGGATCACAATGATAATTATGACTGTTTTTACAAGGCAAATATGATAAATTGTGCCTTGATAAAGAATTTTCTTGGAATATCCTGTTTGTTCATTAAATATTCATGATGTGTACAATAATTCAAGGTGTCCCACTTGTTCAATATCCTTTGAAGCACTCAGGAAATTACTATTATTCCCAGATCTATTAAACTGTATCCAATAATGGTCCACTTTGGTGAAGAGTCTCTTCGGAACATGTATTTCATTAGGACTATCAGACGAGTCGAACAACTTGTACTTAATGGATTCTACAGTGAAGTATCCTGGATCCTTTTTAACCAACCTTCTGTCACATCAGTATTATAACTATTAAATTTTCCAATATTTAAAAAAAGTTTCTGAAATTCTTTCAATGCTATTTCGTTTATCGTGTGCTTTTCTAGGCAATTTTGTAAATTACTATTGCTTGTACTTTCTCCAATATTCTATCACACTTCGAGAGCACTCCGACAAGTGCTTCGATATCCAGAAGGTAGAAAACTACCGTACCATTTTCTTCAACGTTGCCTCAAACTGTAAAAGTATTCTAAATACTTGAACAACTTCTTCAGCAGAGTGGTTTAAATCGTCGTTCTCTACTGATCGAAAATAAGTTCCAATATTTCATACTGTATCTCACACTTGAGCAATCTTCGACCTATAGTCTATCCAGATATATTTCATTCTAAGGTTACATCAAACAACAAAAGTGTCTCAACAACTTCTTCAACAAAGTGTTCAAATCATCTTTCTCTAATGATCCAAGATAACTTGCAATATTTCCTCCTATATCTCACACTGGGGCAATCTTCGACCTATAGTCTATCCAGATATTTTTCTCATCACTTCACACGTTATCATCTTCAACGTGGTTCCATCTTCAAAAAATCTCTCGAACAGGCTCGAAGCAACAGTTTTTCCATAGTATTCTTCGACGTCAACTAGAATTTACTCGTGGTCCCCATAAATTTCCTGTCGTAACGTTCTCCAAGGACGTGCTACACCACTTTCGGTTCCCAAACGTCCGGTCCAGCTTCACACTCGAACGCCTCCTCCTCCTCTGTCGAATAGTTGAACAGTTTGTTCCGCGTAGTCTCTGTAAACGTCACTTCGCAAACCGTCAAACATTCAGGATGCGATAGGTTGGTGAAGTTATAAGCTTGGTGCACGCTCACGCGAGTTCTTCAGGGTACTAAGAAGTCTGAGGCGAGTCGAAGCGTATCGAAGCTACTCCTGTGCCAAGGAAGAAAGAGGGAGAAGACCAAGGATGGCTTGGCTGACCACTCTGACGTAACAGGACGGAGAGATTAGCTTCTCTGGCGCTGGTGCTACAAAG